TATTGGCTCTCATTTAATATATAACAGTTACAAAGAGTAAAGGAATAAATACATATCTACTATAAAATGTGTCAATAAAAATCAATATATCTAAAAATGATTGATAAGAATGTTCTTCAAATAAAGTATACAAAGAAAAGTCCTAATCAGTCGCTTAAAAGCATTTTCTAAATAAAACTGTACTGAAACAAAGCCTAAACTTCTGAATAAAAAAAAATATACAAATTACAGTATACCTCCAGAAAGTCTTTAAGAATTCTTTTCCATAAATAACATATTACTTCTGATCAGACCCTAAAACAACTAAAACAAAAATTAGGCTTTTAAAAAATGTACCAATTAACACACTGAATTGGTATCATCCTGTTCTTCCTTGATTACAATATCAATGTCCTCCTCATTTAGTTCGTACTTTATATTAGCAAAGGCTTCTGGATTCCTTACTCTTAAATCTAAAATATCAAATCCAGTGAGTTCATAACTCTCCATCTCTTTTCTTAGTAAAATGTCGTACTCCGATTGTTCTTTCTTCACGTGAACCTCGTCTTCTTTGATTGAAATGTCGTCCTCTGATGGTTCTTTCTTCACCCTAGCCTCGAAAAAGCCTGAGACATCCACTGCACTGTTAATATTACCTTCAAGTACTCTTTTATTTTTATCAGAATTACCAAAACTAGAACACTGCAATTCTGATTTCCTACTTGACAAAAATGGTCTTTCTGGCTCTTCCCTAAATATGTTATCATCTGTCATTTCTTCCTTCACATAAACATCATCATTATTTTTACTATCACTGCTTTTATCTTCACCTACAACTCTAGCCAAATTCTGGTTGCAAGAACACTGGAATTTTTCCTTCCCACTCAAAACAGCAGAAGGTCTGGGGAATCTTGAAATATACACCATCTCTCCAGCATTTGACTGTTCTTGGGGAGACCCAACATAATCTTGAACTTCATGCTGTAGCTTTACCTTCTGTCCACATTTAGAACAAGCAAGAGATTTTCTCCCAGCCTGCGTGACAACATTTACCTTTACTTTTGTGGGCTGAGTTTTATTCCAAGACAATGGTATATTTTTCCCCTTGTCTATTATAGTAATTTTCACATCATCAGATTGCTGTTGCATGCTCCCTACATCTGCAGTATTATTATCTACACTAGAGGACTGCTGTACCATACTTAAATGATATGCCCTATGCTTTTGGAATGAGGTCAAAGACTTGAATGTGATTTTACAAGGAATACATCTAAATCTATTTTTAGACTGTAATGAAGGGAGGTTCACATTGTGAAGAAAAACTGATGATAAATTCTTTCTGGATTCACAAGCTAATGCATTCTTGATTCCTGAGTTGTTAATGCCATCAACTCTTCCACCATACAACATCTTTCTATTCGTTTTTAGATCCCCTACTTTTGACATACAAGTAGTTTTTTCAGGCAAATGTACATGTGTTCTTGTTAACTGGTTGGGTATGTACTCTTTTTTCAAGTTGCTTTTATTAGCTTTAACTTTCTCCTTGAAGTCATTACCTCCAAGTTTGTTTCCTTGGTGAAATGTCCGTTCTTGAGCAATGAGGCCTATATCACTGTTGCATTGTTTTCTGTACACTTGAACACAATCTTCACCATTCACTTTCCTTTCTCTTCTAAGGGACACAAGCTCGGAATCATGCAAATTTTCCCTGGATATTTCTTTGCCATTTTGCATTCTAATAACACTAATCCTATTGCTGCCCCGCATATATATATCCTTCTTACTAGTTTGCATGGACCTTATTGAATTTTGCATGTCTAGAGACTTCTCTGCCTTGTGCTTAATTTTTGCAAACTTGGGTGAACTACCTGTCTCATGCTCTATAAAAGACCTTTTCCCACAAAATTCTGCAATTGAACACCCTATTGGCAAATCAGGCTTTTTCTGTTGGATAAATTCACTTGTTAGAAGCAATGATTTACTTGCTATATTTGGCACCACAACAGCTCTAGAATTGACTCTCTTTATGGCAATAAGACAATCATCTTTGTCACATTTGTTACTTTCACTTGGTTTGTTTTCTTGTATGCTGACTTCATCACTGCAGTCTTTTTCTTCACTGTCACTTAATGCTTCTTGTGAGATATGACTGGGTTTTTCATCAAGTATAGTAGTTGCTTGTGAGACAGGGTCAGGTTTTTCATCACCTAAAGCTTCAGGTGAGACACCCTCTTTGTCACTCTCATCCTCTTCTTGTTTGGGCAAACAACTTTCACCCTGCATTCTTTTGTGCCGAATGTGCATTTGTAATTTCTGTCGGGTGTGGAAGTTTTCGCCACATATCCTACACCTAAAGCGCTTCCTAACTGGAGAGCAAATATGACCAACCAAGGTGCGCTCCTGCAAAAATTCACGCTCACACCACATGCACGTGAACTTCTTCGGCTCGTGGGTTTTGAGGTGAGTCTTAAAGTTCACCGTCCTTTTGAACTTCCTGTCACAGTGGGGGCAGGAGTGCAAGTCTGCCTCTTCCCCTTGGCCCCTCATCTCACCTGGGTTGCCCTTACCCATCCTTAGATCTTTCGTCTTCTACAGTCCAGTCGTAGATGGGAAGCAGAATTTTCCACAGTCATATAACAGTTTTGGAAGGATGATACTTCCATGCTATTCATAACAGGTAGATTTTAGTATGTAACCATAGTATTTGAATAATCCAGTACTGAAACTAAGGAAAGTGTAAATATTACTCTACAGTGTAATTCACTTTCACACTGTCTTCAAGTGTCATTTTGTCTTCAATTTTTTCGTTGGCTAAAGCTGCTGCTCACAGGGCTGCTATAAACTCCTATTACTATCTGAAATAAAAAGAAACACATCATTAGTATCCATATAATATAAACATCAAAGTCTTATATATGGTATCAACAATGAAGAAAGTTATATATATAAATACACAAAATATAAGAGCCAAAAAAAATTGATTTTTCCATAATTAAAATATAATAATCCAAATCACTGTCATAGTATGTCAGTAAAACTAATTATGAAAATTACTCTTAAATAAATAAAATTATAACAGTTGTCATTATCATCTTGTTGTTTTTGTTGCTGTTGTTGTCGTATCTTTAATATTATTATCATTAAAATTGGCATTATTCATCATCATCATCAGCAGCAGCATATAAACACTGACAATTATCAGTGATAATGATGATGATGATGATAACAATGACAATGACGATGAGGATAACGATAGCGATGACAATGAAATGATGATAATGACAATGAGGATGACAATAATAATAATAATAATAATAATAATAATAATAATAATAATAATGACAATAACAATAACAAAACAACAACAACAACAACAACAACAACAATAATAGTAGTAGTAATAGTAGTAGTAGTAGTAGTAGTAGTAGTAGTAGTAGTAATAATAATAATAATAATAATAATAATAATAATAATAATAATGATAATGATGATAATAACTTTTATTACTATTACAATTATTTTTTTCTATTATTAACCCCATGCCGCCAGGGAAAATGTGCTCATTTTCTATATTTTTGTGAAATGTCTCTGCACATAGATGACTCTGCTAATGCTTAGCCACAAAGGAGTCAATTAGTAGATCTTCGTGACCTTACTTGATTTGAATTGGCGGGAATAACGTACTTTTTACTAGTGCCATGAATATCGATGGTGTTATTTTTATTATAAACTTTTATAATTACTATAATGCTATAAACATTAATAACAGCAAAATAAGATAACGTAAAATATTTTCGTATATCAAAGAAAAGGGTAAACGGGCGAGACAGGCAGTACTCATAATAGGCTCATTGGTGACTTAGTAAAGTGTAGCCCTCTATGTGTAAAAACAATCAAACAAGTAACTCACAGTGGGAATAGCACGTACATACACGTCATGCCCATCATCAGCATTGGGTTAATATCTTTATCATTATCATTATCATTATCATCATCAGCATTATCATTATTATTATCATTATCACTATTGCTATCATTACTATTGTTATTATAGTCGCAGCAAATACTACTACTACTAATTCCGCTACTACTACCGCTACTACTACCACTACTACCACTACCACTACCACTACTACTACCACTACTACTGTGTGCATGCGTGGGTGCATATGGGGGTGCTAGAAATGGTATATATGGCATACCAAAAATGAAGAGCCACTTGCTGCTGCTGCTATTATCATCATCTTTATTATTATTATTGTTATTATTATTATTGTTATTATTGTTATTATTGTTATTGTTGTTATTGTTATTATTATTATTATCATTATCATTATCATTATCATTATCATTATCATTATCATTATCATTATCATTATCATTATCATTATCATTATCATTATCATTATTATTATTATTATTATCATTATTATTATCATTATCATTATCATTATCATTATTATTATAATAAAAGGGTCCCCTTTCTCATTCTTGCTAATCAAGGTCGCTCCTCTTCACATTTCTCTTTGGTTAAATAAAAAAGTTTGGGGCAGTGATTTGACAAACATGATCACCTGTAAGCAACAATACTTTATAAGGAAGTGAACTCTGCTGTTACAACTCTCTGTTTTCATTTAAAAACAATATCACCCCATAAAAACCCAGGGTATACCATTATGAGAAAAATCAATATTTTAGTCATTCCACTAATCATAAAAATGTATACAGCACATCCTTGCAGGATAAAATAACACTCATTTCTTTACTTAAGAATAAATTGTTTCCTGAGCTATGAACTCCATCCACCTGAGACCAAATCCTGTTTTACCACGGTATATACGCCATTCCCTGCTACAGCAGACTAACAAACCTCAAAACCAAGGTAAGCCCTTGACTTTTGCTGAGAATACCTTCAGTAAGTGATTGTGAGCTTTCTTGCTTCTTATATCTTCAAACTACAGCCACCTATGCATATATTAAGTGTTAATAGGTTCTTGGTGTTGTTTTATGGGTCTTTGCACATATTCCTTAATATTTTTCCTCTGCACAGTCCCTGTTTCACCAAAAATAAATCAAGAGGGAGTTCTACATGTAGGAATACTATCCTGTGGTCTGTCAGTTTATGCTGGAGCACTAACCAATGATGGAAGCGTGTCTTCTAAACATCTATTAATTACTTTTAGGATATCTAAATAGTAGAATATTTTATGATGCCAATTTTGTTTATAGTAGTAACACACACCTTTTGTATATCACCAAATACCAATTCCATTAACTGCCTGCAAGAGGTTTGTTTTCCTGTATTAAGGGTAGTTCTATTTAACCAAATTCAGACAGGCATGGCATGTACATACAATCCACGCCCACGGTGAGTTTACTTTATTAATTGTTTTTACTCAAAGATGGCTCACGAATGAGCCAATTATGAGTGCTGCCTGTCTCGCACACTTACCCTTTTACTTGATTTATGAAAATATTTTACATTATCCTATTTTGCTGTTACTAATGTTTATGACATTAGAGTAATTATAAGGTTTATAATAAAAATAACACAATCAATATTCGTAGCATTAGTAAAAAATACATTTTTCCTGCCAACTATAGGAAAGATGAAACTAGTTAACCCATTTGCGACGGCCTGTCACATATACATGATATGCCCACTGTCAGTTTACTTGTTTAATTGTTTTTACACATAGATGACTACAAGTACGAGTACTGCCTGTCTCACCCGTTTACCCTTTTCTTTAATATTCATAGCACTAGTAAAAAATACATTTTGCCGCCAATTCAAGGAAAGGTGAAATCAGGTAAGGTAGAGCCATCTATGTGTAGAGACATTTCACAAAAAATATTTTAAAATAAGCCTTTTGCCCATTTCATGCAATGCCTTGGTACTTAGACTGAAATTTGTGTCTCTGTCATGTTGGTTAACCCCTTACTGACAGGTGAAGAAAAGTTTTTTAAAACTACGCTCTGGAGATTAATGGCAACAGGCCGACTTTCAGCGTGGGAATTCGCTACATCAAGCCGAATCCCCAGCTCATAGCACTTTGGCGAATTACCACAGCGTACAGCCACACTCCACAGATCAAGCAGTCTCTTATGATGCCTCAGCACATAGCCCGTCGTTATGGGATTAATAATCAACCAGCTCACATGAAGCCTCCGTAAAACCACTCTACATGAAGTTTTACAATATAGGACTTTCTAGAAATCACAATAGAATCCTTATTTGGGACAATATGTAGTATAAGGTAGTGGCAGAGTTGAGTAATAAAACCTACATGAAATGATAGAATGATACAAACCAAGACAAAGTTCTTCTATGGCAATGTGTGTGCAAATGCTTCCCAAGGGTGCTATGCGTAAAAGAAAAGAGAAGATCAACCAATTTTGGCTAAGCCACTCATCTTGTTTAATTTGCAAGGGTGAATTCTAGACGTATATATTACCACGGGGGTCCAGGGGGCATAGCCCCTTGGCTAGGCATATATATTAACACAGGGGTCCAGGGGGCGTAGTGGTATATATTCTAGGGACTATATACCACGGTGTTAGGTTAGGTTCGATGTTGGGTTAGGATGTTTTGCTTAACAACCACCGGAGTCCTGTTTTGATATAATTTCCCTGATATACTTCATGCCCTCCCCTGCTATCGGGACTATCAAATCAAGACTGTCGATGGAGATGGTGATCATATCTCCTCAACGATTCATTTGCACAAGGTACAATGCCTAGAATCATTGAAAGCAGTGGATTTCATGCAGAATAATATCAAAATTGTTTTGAAAGTAACTCACTAATCTCTTCTACATACTGACCCGGGGGATCTTCTCTTTTCTTTTACATATAGCAGTCTTGGGAAGCATTTGCACACACATTGCCATAGAAGAACTTTGTCTAGGTTTTATTACCCAACTCTGCCACTACCTTATGCTACATATTGACCAAGAAACTACAACTATGAGGTTCTGAAGTAAGAGTATGCCTGCCCCTTATAATGGAAATAAACTTGATGATTAATAAACTAAACAAAAAAACGGAAATAAATTTAATGATTAATAAACTAAACAAAAAAAAAAAAACATCTCGTAAACGAACTGCCATGCTTACCTTGATCTCTTGACATCCTGATTGTCATTTTAACGCATTAATTCTTCAATGCAGGTGTCAGCAGCATCCTCGAGTACGTATGAATATCTTTACATTATCACAAATGTCATAATTCACGACATTCTCCCTAAAAATACGAAACTTCGGCTCGCGAACGAGGTTTTTGCGTAGCAGGACTTACTCGCTGCTGTTGTCGGCGACTTTAACTTCATCTTTTAATCTTATTTATAATACAGTGTCATATTTTTTTATCAATAAACTTCAATATCATCTCGTGTAATGTATGTCCCAGTTACTCATTACTAATATGTATAAGTCATGTTTTTAAATATATGGTTTATTTCATAGATAAGTACCGTCGAAGTCAATAAGCCGTGCACGAAAACGAACAAAGTCTCGAATCGGTTCATCGGAAGTATACTAAAGCAAATAAAGCGTTTTTTTTTATATATCCATCTTTGTGCTTTATCAAATGTAACTCCCATTCCACCTTGGTTTCATATTACAAAATAAACAAACAAACAAAAAAAACAACAACATAGAAACTAACTTCTTAGATGAGCTGACCAAAAAGATGTCCCCGAACAAATAATAAAGAGTCAATTTATTAAAGTTGGAAAACACAAGATATTTAGAATATAGAAAATATATATATATTCACAGATGGTTCAAAATTAAGCACAAACTCAACCTCAGCTGCCATATATATCCAAGATAAAAAGATAACAACAATATGGAAATTACCAGATGAAACAGAAACAATAAAACAAGGAATTACCTATATCCAGAATAATAGATTAACAACATCAGTAATATTTTCATATTCAAAATCAGCCTTACAGCTAATATCAAACCCAAAACAAAAAAAATATATATATATAAACACACTATATTTGAAATGCAGGCAATGATATATACACTTACAAGCCAAAATCAGATACTAACAATACAGTGGATACCATTACACAAAAAAAAACATAAGAGGTAACGAAATAGCTGATCAAGCGGCTAAACATGCACGTAACATAACAAACCCCATAACCACACATGATGACAAAAGAAAAAAGATAAAACAAATAAGAATAGAATATCAAAAAAAAAAAACAATTAAACACAATCCTTAATACAAAAAATTACCTTCTAAAAACATAGAACTCCAACCATTGTCAAGGGAATATAGACTAGACAATGGTCTAAAACCCTATAGAAGAAGAAAGAAAATAGATCCAGGGGATATGGACTAGACAATAGTCTAAAACCCTATGAAAGAAGAAAGAAGAAGAAGGTGGTAAGTGGACTCTCCTAAATAGTTTGTTTTTTTTTTCAATGTTGTAGGATATATCTGTTTATATTCATGATATATGAAAAATTACT